TCTCGAATTATACAAGGAGTCCGAACAAAGTCCGTGAAATGCGGCCTTCCGTGAGCAAAACCACCGTGTGGTGAGTAAGCCAGCAGAGCAATACATCTTCAACGGATTGATGAAGAGCGTTCCAAGATTATTTGAGCGCTACAAGATCGCAAGTCTCCATTTCTCCGTGGAAAAGGGCTCAACTTAATGAGCGATGGTGTGGCTGTTAAGACCCTTCGCGATCTTGGACTCTACCTCCTTGTTTCGTTCTACAGGTGGTCTGAGATCGACGTGGAAAAGTTTATTCTAGGTGGATATGGCAGAAAAAGAGGGTACAGGATGATCGCGTGAAAATCGCAGATGGTTTCAATGTAACGTAATTTCGGCGGTGAATCCCTTATGGTTTGAGGCACCTTTGAACGAGATTCCACAGGGTATCGTGAAGTTCTTTCGAAGCGAGTCTTACCATTTTTTCAACAAGGATCCCCTCTATCCTTGATTTTCACACACGATAACGCGGCTGTCCATGCCGGTCCCTCCGCGCCAGATGGAATTGCAGGAAAAAATGTGGCAGTTATCTGGTGGCCACCATGTTATCTGAATTAGATTCCAATAGAGAATCATTGGGCCTTAATTGTTATAAAGTTCCACAGCAAAGTAAAGCAAAATGGAACAGCCGAAAAGCTGAAAAGGTCGATCATCGGCGCCCAGACGAATTTCGATCCTACTGTAATAGCTAATTTGGCTACCAGCATTTCAAAACGTATTATTGTGTTCCTTATGATTATTGGGGGTCATCCCATTATTGAAAATTCGTGACGTTTTTTCGTTATAGTAAAATCTCTCGACAAGTGATGTGTAGTCATATTTGCGAAACGGTGAAAATACGTTCTAAGGAAGATATTTTAATAATTCTGAATCGAGATTTCTCCAGAAATCAAGTATCAAGGTTTTTCGTTATGGGGAAACTATTGGTAATAGCGGCATTTTCCAAAAATGCACAGCAACTTTGGAATAGCAAAAATTTAGGGTGGACCTATATTTATGAAACGCAGTGTATAGGAATAGTGATCAAAGGGTTCGGCTCATCACTTTCTGAATGATGAGGATATACTGTTCTTGTGACACTGGACTCCGCAGCTAGTATTTGTGCCTAGAGCCAGCTTCTAAAATCTTCAATTTCAGGCATCAGTTCGAGATCATCTCTTGCAAGTAGATGCCGATGCCTACCTTCCTACTGATAAAGATGATTTCCCCACAGGTAATTCTTCATTCCGCTGGCACCTTGTCCTTCTCCAGCGACTGTAAAAGATGACATCTTTATGAGTTATCTAGGTAGCCTTCCTCGTATCTTATCAGGTACCCTCGCCTTCAAATGACCAGAAATTGTGCAATTGCAGAAATTGACGTGGCATTAACGTGGCATCGATTCAAGAACATCTTTGAGCACACGTGATGTCACCTTTTCATCGAGAATTTAGCCACGTGTGCCACGTGGATTTCTGGCTGCATGAAACAGAGTGTACGCTCAAAAGGTCAAATATGAGTATATAAAAACTGTTCTATATGAAATCAGGACAAGTACAAAAATGAAGCGAACACAGAACAGAAGAATCAATAAATCTGATAAGATCCATGTTATTTCTGTACGAAAAACAATTTAATAGAATATGCATAGATCACAGAAGCAAATAACCAAGCACTACATATTTCACTAAAAACTGAAATATTTAACAAATCACGAGAAAGAATACGTTTGTTTGGATTTAATAGGTTGAGCAATAATTATCCGCCGTTTTTTTAGGCTCATGGCTCTTTGATTTTTTGCTGATTTTTTTTAAAGATTATGATGTAGTCTGAAAGCGCGCAATCTCTTGTACATTTTGATGTACAACACTTGTGTATTTGCTTCACTCTGGAGCTTACACGTGAGCAAAAAAGATTGCTCATGCTACATGAGTGCAAGTTGAGCTCGAAACGAATGCTTCTGCATCTGCTCGTAGAATCAATGAAGCCTGGGATGAAGGCACGGTTGCAGAGAAGGACTGTTCGAGAGCGTTTGTTGATTACGCATTTATTGTTGTTTTTGTTTGGTTTTGTTAATAAACTTATGAGTGAAATGAAAACGGCGGATAATTATTGCTCAACCTAATATTTTTGCTTAAAGGAATCTTCCACGGACCATGGACCAGTGGGCGGGACCGGAAGTGGTTTTGCGACGAAATGCATGGTAGGTACGGATCCACGTTCATGGGAAGGTTTGAAGTGAATCCTGTTCACGTTCGTGCGTTCGACACGTGGATCCGTACCTACCATGCATTTCGTCACAAAAACTTCCGGTCCCGCCCACTGGTCCATGGTCCCGTGGAAGATTTAACTGAGTATTTTCATTAGTATTCAGCGAAGCTTAAAGCGCTTTCTTAGCATCGATTAGCACACCTTCTTAATTTTGTACTGTCAAAACTACGCTGTCAGCTTTTGGAGTAGATTTTAACTTTAGCGGATGAGAGTAGCGTGCTAGCTGAAAAATTTGCCTCGTTGACTGTATGTTCTATTTGATGATTGGAAAAACAAGCGGATCAATGATATTGAACTACGCCAAAGAGCGATGTTGACTTGATCACTGCCGCTTAGAAAAGTCCTTGCTCATCATCTGTTGAATCAAACAGCATTTTTATGTTGAACTGCTTTTCATTTAAGGGGAAATAGTCGAAGTGCAAGGAAGTCGATTCGATTCACCGGAAGAGAAACCTCTTAAGAGCCTTCTTGATGACAAAGGGAACATTGATATCGACAATGATCTCGTCCTATCACGCGAGAGGTCACGGCTGCATGTATTGTCGTATGTTTTTGCTTCGTTCATTTCCTTATGTTTTACTACACAAAAGGGGTGACTCGAGTAAAACAGAGTCGCTCTCAAATAAGACGGCTATAGAGAATCGCAATTTTATATTTCTGGAGCCAGTCACTTTTAAGTATCATTCGGACATATGTGTATGGTATGCCGTAAGTATGCTCACTCTACGAATTTATGGCATATTCATGTTCTGGTCATGGGTTAACTACCTCTGACAACGAGTTTCCAGCAAAGTCGGTGGTAATTAGTGTCCTGGCTCTCTTAGCACCGACACCTGAGGCGCGGGCACCAAAGCGTCTTACGCTAAACGTATGCAGTTCTATGTTTGTGTTCTATGTTTAGAACTATCAGAGAATTCCTGGGCAAATTCACGGTGTTAAATTTTAGTCTAAATCCATCTCGGTTCTTTGAGAGTGTTGCAGTAAAGAGTGAATAGTGTCATAAGTAATTATGGCAGTGAAAATGAAAGTAGGAAATGATTTCGAAACACAAAGGATATTTCTGTTATCATCGCCTCGACGACGGGACTCAGAGTCTTCTGCAGCATCTGTCGGTGTTACTGAGAGGCTTCTTCGAAGTTTCAGATTAAAATGACCGCATTGCTCATCAGGCGCCAAAGGGTCCAGGGGGATTGATGTAGGAAATTTAGCCCCATGTCAGGCAAATTTCCCTCTCATCCGTGAGGTGCAGGGAAAAGCTTGGGAACGTTGATGTGGCACTTGTCAAGAGCTTTTGTACATTGCCGCTACTCTGTCATGCTGTTGCAAACACTAAAAACTTTGAAGCGAGTGGTCGATATCTTATACAGTATTCCCAGCATGTTTTATTCCTCCTAATGACATTGAGCATGACTGGAAACGACTCGTTCGATGCGAGTAAATCGGCTATAAGAAGGGAATAGACGTGCACCGGATCGGTCTGCTTGGTTTTGGGAACAACGATGTAGCAGTTTCGATTGAAACTAAGAAGAAGGCGTATAAAACTTGGCACCTCAATCCTACAGATGAGAATAGAGTAAAATATTGTGAAGCCAAGCGGGAAGCCAAACGGACAATAAGTAAAGCGATAAAAGAAAAAACGGATGTGCTCATTGCGGGACTTAACACCAATGAAGGCGAAAAGCAGATTTACAGTCTTGCCAAGAGACGCTTCAGAGCAACACAAGACTTCACTACGACTACAACGTTCATCAAGGATAGTGATGGAGTAGTCCTGTACGGTTTTGCAAAAATTGGTGGCACGAATATGTTCCAAGGATCTGTTAAGGGAGTTCCCGCATCCACCACCTCCAAAAGAGCCGCAGATCCACGGACCCATCCCACGAATAAGTGAGAACGAAGTCAAAGAAGCCGTCAAAAAGATGAAGAACATGAAAGCACTGGGCCAGACGACATATCTGGAGACAATTCGAAGGCTATTCCTTTTTGACGGAAATCTTCAACAACTGCATTGAGAAAAGGAGTAATTTCGAAAGATTGACCAAAAAGCATCACAGTGCCCATTTATAAGAAGAAAGGAGACATTGCTAATTGCTCCAGTTAGCGTCCTATTCGTCTAATGTGTCCCACTTTGAAGATCTTCGAACCAATTCTAGACACCAGACTAAGAGGAGATAGTCAACATAAGTCGGATGCAGTGTGTACTTCGACCTGAGCAAGTCTACGACGCCTTTTCATTTGACGTGTCACATGGCCTGTTAGAACTGGCGAGAAGTGGCTTCGGGAGTGCCACGACAATCGATTGGGAGCCTCAGATATCAACAAGTACCTGAAGCACTTGTCAAAGCTGTACAGCTGACCTACCTCAACTCCACCACTGCCGTCGCACACCAGTAGGAGACACCCCACACTTTCCGGTAACTATTGAAGTTTATCAAGGATCAGCCCTTTCACCAACTGGGCTACGCTGACGATGTGCTGCTTATAGATCGATCAAGAGAGAAGTTAGAAAAACGTGTCAACCGCTGGAAGAAACAACTCGATGATCACGGACTCAAGCTCAATTAACAAGACGGAATATATGAGCACGGTGGTCACAGAATCGTCAATTGTTGTAGCTGGAACTCCCCTACCAAAGACGGCTAAATTCTCATACCTCGGATCCATGCTCTCTGCGGACACTGACACGAAAGCCGACACGATTGCCAGAATCAATGCATCATGGAACAAATGGCGAACGGTCACCTGTATCCTTTGTGACAAGAAAATGCCAATACGCCTAAAGTCCAAATTATACACCTCAGTCGTGTGAGGCCTGCAGCTGTTTATGGAGCAGAAGCGAAACGGATGACGGTTGACAAAACAAGAACCTATGGATCCATGGAGATGAAAATGTTGCGATGGTGCCTGGAACACACGCGTCTAGACCGCATTCGGAATGAACACATACGGAGACAAAATCAAAGTTCGACCAACACCCTTTGCTGCCTCACGCCTCCGCTGGTACGGTCATGTCCTACGAAGACCCCCTGATGCTGTGTCCAAGTCGGCAGACAACATAGTGTTCGTCGGTACACGTCCAAGAGGCCGACCCAGAAAGCGATGGCTAGACAACCTGAAATACGACATGAATGCTGCGGACCTGTCTGCAGCCGATGCATGGAACCGGGATCGCTGGAAAACATTGGTGGAAAAAGAGTACCAACAACGCTAAGAAAAGGAGAGTATTATTATTCCTCCTAATGATGGTGAGGCCCTCTAGAGAACAAGTGCCCATCATATTTTAACTGGAATCATAACAGAGAAGTTGCGAGGAGTCTTCGTCGAATAGTTGAGCCCTGCAGTACCATGGTGAATCCGAAAGGAACCAATTCCAAATAGAACATTCCATCAGAAAGAGAGCGAGACATTTCTCTTGACAAGGTCACTTTTGGCTGTTGTTGAGTCAGTTCTGCAACAGATAGCCGCTAAGCAAAATCTCACACGGTCGGTAAGCAGGGTCCATCCATCTTCCTCAATAACAATGTTCTTTCTCTGCACCTTCCTGTAAAACAAAGGTGCAGAGATGGGCAACAACCCTTAACGCTTGGTTCGTGTCATGCTTTTCGTGTGATGGCTGCCGTGAGACTTCCGTACACTAGCACAGATGGTTGTGAGGGTGAGCGACTGTTTCTGGCTATGCTCGAGTGTCGTGGGCAATTCAATTCGCGAGAGTTAACATAAGCTCCGCTTCATAGGCATTGCGCTGTTGTCTATAGCAGTCAGGCGAAAAAGAGGTTTGTCCCCGGAGGAATTCATTCTCAATTGAGGCACTGATGTAAAAGTGTGTCTTGTGTTGGGGTACACCAACTTCTTCAAAGGCAGTGCAGATGTTGACAAAAATGGGTGTTAGAATATGATCTCGTAAAATGTAATGGCTCGCAGATTACCTCACTGCACTGAAGTTATTTTTGCTTTCACATTTGCAATATAAACGTGAATTTATATGCATGCCGAAGTGAAGTTTCGGGAAACTTTCACCGTCTATAGTATGGAAGCTACCCCACTGGTACTCTGAGCAAATCAAGAAAATAGTGAGAACTTCAATAGGGTTTTTATCCAATCCATTTTTTTAGGAAGTAAAAGTTTTTCAAAACATGAGAGCTTATTAGAATTTCTTCCGTTTCACCATAAATCAGCAGTTCACAATATGCTTTTTGGCCATTTGTATGAGAAATGTGTTCTTCTAGGCTTTATTCACCGCTATCTGGCATAAAAATGGTGGCATCAACATCATATCCGGTGATCCACCTCTACGGCTCACGTCATCTTCAAGACGTTAAGGGCAAAGAAGGCCAGCTGTACCAAACAGGAAAAGCATTAGCAATAGAGCCACAATTCCACACCGGCGCCTTAAATTATGTGAGTAAATCTTTCAGATTAAATATCTTTTTTGAAAGAGTTTTCGGGTATTTCCAAAGGACTCCTTTTGAGTGAGTCGCCCTTTGTAAAGTTTTTCTTAGTAGAGATGGCATTATGATCCATCTTACTGATAAATGTTACCCAGATCGACCGACTTTTTTCCTCCGAGGTCGGCTAGTCTTTGATCTGCATTATTTTTGTGCATATTATCACACTGGTGTGCGAAACTTAAGGACGAAATAGCATAACTTATTATTCTCGGTGAAATGGGATGAACCTGTGGGAGCATGATGCCAGAAGGTGCTACAGTCCGTGCACAACAAAGTGGCCTCATATATCACGCGGACCGGCTTCAATCTGGAGCCAAAGGGACACCACGCAGAACGAGGGTTTGGTGGGACAGGACAAGAGGGAGTGTACTGACAGGGAGAAGTTCTGTGGAATGTAGTGGTGTTTTTGATTACAAAGCATGTCTTAGAGACAGCACTAGCATGACTTCACGCGAGGAAGAATCCGGGAAATGTGGAAGAATGAAGATGTGTTATGGGTATGGTCCAGGAGCTTGATGTTGCTCACAACATTGCTTTATGCGCATGGGGAGCATTATGAACCACTGCCACTGCTGCCCGTAGAGCAGGAGATGGAGGATCGCGAACAGACAGCGGGAGCAGCATGATTGCTAAGTGTTGCAACAGGCACAATAATGTACTCCGTCAGTCACATGCTGCGGTTGCAAACACTGATCGGGATTGTAAGAGTTGTAATCTCAGAATGAAACGTGGAACAGTGACGGCGTAGGGATGACTCTCTGCTCACTACAAAAATAAAGTATAAAGAAATCCGCGCATTGAGAAACCCTCGGCTGGTGGCCGAAACATTGGGAATTGGAAGATGTGGCTCTTCTCAAGTGTAGGCAATTGCGCGCGGAGTAGTGGTTTCTGCTCTATTCGCGGAAAGTGGAGAGAAAAGGAATATGTGATGCACCCAGGATCATCGTTCAACGTGATTGTTTTGGTAGCTCATTTGATATGGTGTGGTGAGACATAGTTGCTGGGGCGTACCGACTTCCCAATTCGTAATCACGGAATGCTTTCCTATCGACGTTTGTAGTGAATGACTAGTACCCGCTCTTATAGTGTATCTTGTTAGGATGCGGTTGATCCCCTTTTGGTTAGTATGGAGGAAATGCGAGCGCATTGAAAAGCCTAGGTGGAAAACTCTTAAAACGCTAGGATTTTTTTTGGCGATTGGTTTAGCGTGTCCGCTTTCCCCTCTCAATTCCTATAGAGCAGGGGTGGTATGCAGGAGAGCTGTTGTAGTGCACCCCTCCATGCACCAATAACGCCCACAATTGTCAATCGGTATGTTCGAAGGATGGAACGCTTCTCCACTGTAGGTGATGACCGGTTTCAGAGTAGGATCGATTGAAATGAAGAAGATGGAGAAGAATGTGCGAGGGAAGGAAGAGATTAATAGAAAAAGAAGAAGAAGAAGTATAGGGAGGATAAGAAGGATAAGAGGAACTTCCCCTATATAAGCTGCCCTTGGAGGGTAATAAATATTTTCAACTCTGCTGTGCCCTGAGACGTCGTAACTTCCACAACGACACTTGGCCAGCGTTGCGCCACCGTCCGTCATGGGAGCACGTAGCAGAGCATGCTCTGCATTTTTGCTCATACATTCCATCAAGAACCAACTCCTCGCTTCTGAAGGTTCGCTGTGAGTTGGGGTAGCTTCACCCATCAACCGCTTCAGTCACTGTCTTTGAAGAAAAGTGTCTTTTCCAATCGTTCCATTTTTTCCATCAGTAACTCCCTGCACTATGCTGTAACATTTCCTTCTATGTGTGTCCCAAATTTCATCGACCTAGGTTAGCTAGCAGTGAGAAATCATGCGAAAGTTACTCCCGTCCTTAGATTTTGCACACCGGTGCACTTGCATTTACTGTGCTTGGCTAGTATTGAGGACCTCTCGCTAACACTTGTTTGCTTATATAAACTTTAGAGTTCTTCACTTTGTATTTTCGCTCAATTCTGACATTCTAGGACAATTTTCCCTGCATCCACCTGTCTCCCGATCAACCTTACCTCCACGAGATCGTCTACACATTCTCGACAGTAGATGACGATTGAATTGTCATGTTTAATTTCTTCTCGTTCACGTTGATTGTTTAGCATCTAATTTTGTACTTGATTGCTGGCTTTGCTGTTGTGAACTAATTGTAAGAGTCGAAAGAAAACTCGTGTTGAGTGATTCCTCAATGATCTGGATTTCTACTGCAATCAGATGATGGTGTAAGCTTATGCAATGTTCTGACTTTGACCCAAGTACTACGTTTTATCAGATTCTGCATGATTGTGCACTTAACAAGCTTCGTTTGCAGTTGCCAAGGTATCGTTTACAGTTGCCAAGCGGATATAGTGATCTTCCAAAGTTCCGTACGTGCCAATCAAATCAACTCTGATTATAATAAATTATGTGTTTACTGTGCCAGACATGCTGGATTTGAGAACTACAAATTTTAACTCCAAAATCTCGATGCTCAAGGCAATCTTACTTACATTCGGTGAGTGCCTACCGCAGGTGAAGGTGATGTGTAACATGTTTCCCACATTTGTGAAGCTTGTTCGCTAAATACAATTTTTTTCTAAAATGACCCGTCAAAAGTTGGGAACCGCACAATATCAAGTTGATTCAGCACAAGACTTGCGAGTAGCAGGCAGATCCGGTGATAGTTGTTGAAGCCGTCTTCCTTCCTGAGAACAGGCCTGCTGGTTTCACATTATGGGTACCTCACATTCCGACAGGTAACGCGTGAAGGGATGAGCCAGCGTTTAGCGTTTCAGGTGGTGAGTTCGCTGGATGTTTCGCTCTGATCGCATTGGGAAAGGGTGATGAACAGTTCCTAACCGACGAGATGGCCCGTCAATCGGAAAGGAGCGTAACGGAACATAGTATATTCTGCTTCAGATGACACACGGTAAGGTGAACATGGTTGTTGAGAGAAAAGATGTTAGTCGTAGATGGCCACTTCCGTTGCCCCTTGTGACACAGCGGCTCCATCGAGACCTGCACGGAAAAAAGTAACAACTTGCTAAATTTTTATTAAATTAACTTTCGAAAAATTTTACCATGGTTGGAGAGAGTAATTTGAATTTTCCAAATCAAATCACTTCGGCGCAGAAGCTCGAATATGAAGGAAGTTATAGCCCTAGAAAGAGGAGTGTAAAAATTGTGTTGCAATTTTATTTTTTGCTAATAACTTATTCATTCCGAAGTGTTTGAGAACAAATGAGCACTCGTTAGGAAGGAGGAGCCACGTCGATCCAAAATCCACCTAATCTTCCGAACTACCTGAAATGTAAAAAAGAAAAACTCCTCGAATTTTCACATTCCCCGTTCGACGCCTCTTCACCGTGAGCAAATGCGCTCCACCGTCAGGAGGCCAATGGGCGCCATTCAGCACATTCGAACGCGATCGATTTTGCGGTATGAGACGTGTTTCCTTTATTTCACCTGATGAGCTACATAGTTCGTTCATCCATTTTCATTTCTGATTTTCATTTTTTCATTACTTTGTCAGCGCAGTGTGCCTCTGGGAGGTAGGGACACGAGTCGTCTTAACGAATGTAATGACGAGAGCGATGGTAAACACTGTCTCTACACAAGTGTTACATACAAGGGGGGTCGTATCAAATCACCCATGAAGGGGGGGGTCGTAAAAAATTTCCGAAGAGTAACAACGATAGGGTTGACCCTGCTCCCAAGTCCATCACAGGTGATAGAGCTTGTGGAACTAAATCACCAAGGGCGGGTTACTCGACATCATCACGGACAGCTTTTCACGCGAGTACCTATCCGAGGCCACTTTTGGTGTTGAGGTCGCCGTCGTAACCAATTAAGTGTCATCTTAGCTGCAGAACGTCTCCAACCCCAACTAGAATAAGTATATAATTAAAATAAACTCGTATAAAGTCCTCAATGCAGGCATTGATTCCACAGATCAAAAGAAAATCGATGTTCTGCTCAGCATTTCGCGACTAGTTTATCTCCCGCCATCAATGGTCCCAATACGCATCATGCACCCTGCTTTGCCATGATGCTCTCCGAATTTATATTGTCATGAGAAAGAGATAAAACAAATTTCAGCGCGCTGGTCTCCCTCGCTATCTGTAGCCCCCTGACGTAGCCCCTCTCATGTTCCTTAAGAAGACTGCGCTTCTTGTTTCTTATCCGAATAGCTTTCAACTTGAGCCCCACTGCTGAGGTTCGCGATCGTTGGAAACACTCCTTTGTTGTACTCAGTTCCAGAGAGTCCTCTTCTTCTAATGTCCAAAACTATCGCCCTATAAGCACCACGTCTATTTTCTTCCGCATTTTCGAGGGAAAATTTGTGAAATAAAAAAAACAACGATCGATCATCGATCTTTATCTCGATATTCACTCTGTATTTATTCACAATTTTAATATCACATCTAATGTGCACTTTCAGGCGAATGGAGACAGAAACGACCCGTTGGATAACTTTAATGCTATACAGCGTAATTGGTAGAGCAAACCTGCAAATGTTGTGTACTTCGATTTACCAGAGCATTTGGTAAGGTACCACATACACTACTCCAAGTCAAAATAATAGAATTTAGACTGGAGCCCAGAGTTGTAAATTGGATCGGCGATTTCCAGATAATCGTGCTTTTCAAGTCAGAGTCAACGAGATTTACTCCTCTAGGACGTCCCTTAGCGACGATCCGATCTGTTCTCTCTCCTACTTCTTTCAATATCTTACTATACAGCTATTCCGAACACACAAGCATTCTTAGCAAGCTAAGTGTCCGTTTGCAATGACATAAAAATACGCCCGGAGGTTAGCGTTGAGAAGTCACTCCCACAATGGTTTCGGTCATCAAGCTCAGCATCTAATGCCTACAACTTCGGACTTTCCACTTGCCGCTCGACAAGCGGAAGTCTACACTCGGTCCTGACAACGTCCTTCTACCTTTGGCATTCTCCACTATGCACTCTCCACTCATAATAAAGTCTCATCGCTGAGAAGTAAGTTATTGGGAATACGTCGCTTCAAACTCAAAGTTTCTTTTGCTGCTTATAAAACCTACGCCAGACCTATTCTTGAGTACGGGACGACAGTATCCAACGTCCCGAAGCAAACTTGTATCAAGCGACTCGAAGCAGCTCAGAATTGTTTCACTCTTGAATGTTCCTTTCGTTGCTATTCTTTTTTCTTACCGTTTGTGCCCGATCTCTTCTTCCCGTAATCAACTTCTAGGATACGAATTCTTGTTTTTAGAAAGAAAAATCAAGGGTTTTGATAATGGTCAGTAACTCTGTGGCCAAGTTACGGTCCCATTCAGCAAAACTTATTCAAACATTGCCATCCGTAACTAGAGGAAAGCGTAATAAGATGAACTTCACTGCTGCTCGTTACACTCTTAGGCGCCATCTCTTTGTTAACCTCTCTGGGTAAGCATAGTATAATTACAAACAAAGGTCACCACCATATTCGGCAACATTCACCATCATCTACAAAATAATGTGTTCCATTCACGTTCTCCGTTGCATTCTTCGACTCGTCGTTCATATCATCCTGACTAGTGTACTTGTCCCACTATTGTCGTGTACTGTGTGGTATAAAGCAATCTGGAGTTTCTAAATTTTCTTATCACTCCTCACATTTTCTTATTCGAAAATTGCAACCATTCAATGAGAAGTGCGCATTTCTGCAAATTCTCAATTCTCTATCCCATATCTAACACAGTTTTGAAGACACTGCACAATCGTGGTGGTTTTCTGAAATCGAAGCATCACAGATTACAAATCTACCTAGAACCAAACGGAATTATACTCATTTGAATATTAATAGTCAACATCGAGCTATCAGCGGCATAGAGGAAGACTGCGCGAGTCAATGCTAATGCAACGCTACCGCGCTCGATTCGGGCACTTCTGCTTGAGAATCGGGCTCTAGAGCCATTCGCAACCGAAACATATGATATTCCATTTTGATTGCTTGGTAACAATGAAAAGAAAAAAAATCATTTTGTGGCTCAAGCCAGTCACGAAACTCAATCTTTCTAACAAAGCGCCATTCAATACTATGCCAATCATTGTTACTCAATGGAAGCAAGGTTCATAGCGATTTTGTCTTATCAAATAAACTAAGAGCTCTGTTTGCTATTGTGCTATGATTCAAATTACGTTGTTTATTTACCAGATTAGTCCCCCGTCAACCGCCGGGACCTTCCTTTCCTGCGCAAGCTTTCTATCCTCCGCTATGGTCCCTTCCTCCTGTGACACCAACACCTCGTGGAAGTGACGCGTATGCAACACAATGGTGTTTCATACAGTAGAAGGGACACAATCATGATATGACGGTAGATTTTTCGCTTCCCTTCCTCATCCTCCCTTCCTCTCTCCACTGCCCTCCAGCTGCCACTGCAGCACCATGTGGAATGAACGGAAGTGTGCTAAGCAGGTGTTTATATAGCCCTAGAGAGTGTTATCACAACTATCCTGCTACAAAACATTGATATCTCAAATCCTGTAAGCTACCCGATTTGTTAGCGGTTTGTTTATCCCATGAGCTTCCTTCTCACTCACTTCATTTTGCGGACGGACACACATACATACACACACACACACACTCACACACACACATACAGATACACAAACCGACACACAAAGTTAGCGCTTTATAATATAGTAGATAGATATAGTCCCCCGTCAACCGCCGGGACCTTCCTTTCCTGCGCAAGCTTTCTATCCTCCGCTATGGTCCCTTCCTCCTGTGACACCAACACCTGGAAGTGACGCGTATGCAACACAATGGTGTTTCATACAGTAGAAGGGACACAATCATGATATGACGGTAGATTTTTCGCTTCCCTTCCTCATCCTCCCTTCCTCTCTCCACTGCCCTCCAGCTGCCACTGCAGCACCATGTGGAATGAACGGAAGTGTGCTAAGCAGGTGTTTATATAGCCCTGAGAGTGTTATCACAACTATCCTGCTACAAAACATTGATATCTCAAATCCTGTAAGCTACCCGATTTGTTATCGTTTGTTTATGTCCAATGCCGTCTCTCACTGTGGTGTTTTACGGATCACAATTTCGAATGAGATCACATGCACGCAATCACCACCTGTGATATCGACAATATATCTGATTTATTAGCGTCGAGACTCTGTGAGGCAGGAACACGTGATGCAAAATCAATCACTATCGACTGCTCATATCACGCACATCTTGGCCGGTGCCCTCTCAGTCTGCAAAGCGAGTCGCGCCTGTGGGATCATGTGGGAGTGACATTTTATCTGCTTAAGGAGTGTGAGGTGGCTGATGCAGTGGGTCATAGAGCAGAATTACAAGATCATAGCGGGGAGGTTCGTGAATGGCAAATGAACGAAACACACAATAAACATTGATAGAACACCACCCTTTAAATGATTTAAAGGGTCTCATGCCCAGAGTAAGATGAGGGGGCATTGTGTCAGAATTCACATAACGTACAAGGTGGAGTACTTGCCGTAGAGCCATACATTCTCCGCGGAGTACGCGCCTAGTATCTGCCTCAACTCGCCGCTGGCTCTAACTAGGTCCTACTTCACAAGAGGCCGGTTTCTGCTTTCGGCAAAAACGTTATAAACAAAACCAAAAAGCAAAGCCAAGCATGAAACTGATCACCGATGTGCTTCTCGTCATTATTTACGACTTTGGATTCATTTCGCAAGAAACTGCTAGGTTCAGAAATCAAAAAAGGTAGTGACCTTTCAGAACCTCACTCTACTCAAGTATAGCACAGTATAGTATAGACTGAAATTACAAGACTAGGAGGGAAGTATGGTGTGCGATGACGCGCAAACGTCACTTGTGTAACTGCCTCCTTTACTGAGAAACATCTGACCTATTCCGTCGATTTAGCACAATATTGATCCGCACGAGCGCAAGCAAGGAGAGTATTACCCTCCCCTATTCAAAAGTGAATGAATGTGTCACTGTCTACAGATGCAACCACACAAATGACGACGCACTCGCATATATTATATACTTGGTATAGCCAAGATCGAAGTCATACTTTTTATGCTCGAACAAACTGGATTATCTTTCTGGTGAGACTATTCTCGTTTTTGCTCAATTCTAGGTGATGAACACAATAACTGATAGAAACAACAGCAAACATGCTCTTTCATATCGTGCAGAGGGGAATGACATGCATCATCATATTGGTGGCACAGTCGTCCACTTGTGTTTCATCGATAGACTGGGCGACGGCGAGCGAGCTTTCGCTGGGCTTTTTGAAGGGGAGGTGAGTGGTGTATAGCGAGCGGGTCGGCCACTTAAGTTAATGGCTTTACCGTACATGCAGTTGATATACGACAAGTTGTGGATAAGTGGCGTTGCACGGAGCGAGTGATGTGGGCGCGGTGGTGGATAGAGTGGTTGCGTGGATTAAGCCTGTCTGCCAGGCGAGTGCGTGCTGATATCCCAGCGATGTAGTGCTGGAATGCGGCGGGGGTCTTCATGTCCAGGAGAGGGGAGGTTTCGGGCAAATCAGACAGATTCGTATCCGAAGCATGTAAATGGTGAATACTATAAGAAAGCACTTTCCTATTTATGTGCTTTAGACGTTCATCCCGATTGACGAAATGAACGTAACGCTGCCGTGAGATGAGGAACAGATCTCGTCCCGATGAACGCGTTAACTCTTCCGGTTTTTCTGCAATGGTTGAACGAACGAGGCCTCACTTGTTCCGTCGGCTCCTAAGAAGGCGTCGTTACTTCCCGTAGATCTCTCGTGCCTCAACCTAAGCGTGCAGGCTGTTACTTCTCTAGATCGTCTGAAATGTCATGCAATAGAGTGTGAGTATTAGTATCATACATTAGCACAAGACAGCGAGCGCTGCATAGTAATTAACTAAACAGAGTTAAAATCATAGCTGATACACGAAGCTCAGGATCAAATGCTTAGTAAAATGCGACTGTGTTTCCTTCTTGCAGATCCTAACACAATGAGCATAAGAAGTTTATAACAACTCCTCTACTAAAACGCTTATGACTACTCGGCCTCTTACTCGGATGAGACCACTGGAAGACGGCTTCATCAGCTGTCTATCAAACAATTGGACACGGGCCTTCGTGAACACACGTTAGACACTAACCTAGCCTAGGACACCATCCACCTCCGCCAGACCAAGAGTACACCATCCTTCACAGAAAGAAGAAACCTCCCCCGCCGTCTCTCTGCAATATACGAAGTTATTACGTGTATTCTGTCTCCTATCCAACATGCTCTTTGAAGGAAGTTATTATTGCTGAAAGCTCGAAAAACTCGCATGTGCTGCTCAAAAACCTATGGGATCCAAATGTTCGAACGTGGGATTTTCTCGAAAAATGAACTTTGAAAAATGGTTTAGGGCTTGTTAGAAAGAGCAAATTCTGCTCTTTCACCCCATGGAAAGAGGGAAACGCGCAATCAAAATGAAGCGAGTTATGCTCGTTGAAAGCCCAAAAACTCGCGATTTCAAAGAATGTGTTCGGCAAAACCGCCCGAAATGTTCGAACGTGGGATTTTCTCGAAAAATGAACTTTGAAAAATGGTTTAGGGCTTATTAGAAAGAGCAAAACCTGCTCTTTCACCCCATGGAAAGAGGGAAACACAGCAATCAAAATGAAGTGAGTTATAGTCGCTGAAAGCTTAAAAACTCGGTTTTGCACGGGAACTGTTCGAACGGGGCAAATTTTTGAAAAAGGGGACAATCACTTAACTTTTTATAATCTTTTGTTAGAGAAATATTTGAAGTTTCTAAAACTTTTCACAAATTTCCAAGATGTCGCATACGAAAGATTTTATGAGCTCTCAAAGTTGGAGGTGCGCCTTCTCAGAATTTTGGGTTTTCCGCTTCTGACAGAAATACTTTTGGGAGAGTTAGGTCATCCTTGCAATTTTCTGTAAAGCCACCTCAGGCACAGTTTAAACCTACCTCAATAAGTGAAACAAATACGTCTCAAGAAAGTTACACTCTCCTAAAACTTTTTCTTCGCCGCGTCCCAGTTTTCCAGCGTCCGGGTGATACCTGCCGCGCTCCAAGGTTGACGCCGCAACGCAAACGCTTTCTGCGGCGGTTTCTGACGCAATCATGTCAGTCCTACTCTTCTTTAATCTTCCTTAAGAAAGTTGATGATAAGAAGATGATTAGAAAAAAATTAGTTCTTATTATGAAGACTTTTGAAAAAAAAATCCAATGAATTTTTGTAAGAAAAAATCCATGAATTTTTTGAAAAAAATATTGAATTTTTTTCAGAAATTCAATGATTTTTTGAAAACAATTCAATTCAAATTTCAGTGAAGATCTCAATATTCAAATGTTCTGTTCATATTTCATGGAAGTTCATTGTCCATTTGAAAACAATGAACTTACGAACTTACGAACACAACATTTGAATATTGAATTCTTTACTGAACATTTGAATTGAATTTTTTTCAAAAAATCATTGAATTTTTGAAAAAAATTCAATGATTTTTTGAAAAGAATTCAATTCAAATGCCAGTGAAGAATTCAATATTCAAATGTTTTGTTCTATGTCATGGAAGTTCATTGTCTTTAAAAGGTTTTAGTTCACTGTCTTTGAAGTAAAATGAGTGAAATAAATATTTCACTTAACATTTAGTCAGCACATTCGGCACTTCCATTACCTAAGAGGGGGTCGCAACTGGACCCCCTTGAGATAAGGGGGTGACCCCCTTGAGAAAAGGGGGTCGCAAAAACCCTGAAAATGTTCGAACGTGACGGTTGACCCTGCGGTGAGGCCAGGGCCGCCATGCTGCGATGTCACCTCTCATTTACCACGAGTGCAGCATTCTGCTGATTTATGAGTGGTCAGGATCCATTTTGGGATTCGGTTCATTGTGGGATTCTGTCCTGGAAAGCGATACTTTAGTCAGCACATCTTCCAGGTCAAGCACTGCTTTAGTTAGAGCATCCTCTTTGATAAAAACAAGAAACACGACTACATGGCCAATCGCAAATCAAACCATGATTTTGTTGCATTTACGCAACATTCACGAATTCTCCATCTATCGTCAGCTTCCACCGCCACTAATCAAAGTCCATCATTTTGATGATCGGAGGTTGAGTTCACCCTAACGGCATTTCACCGAAAAAGACCATCTCTCGGTGGCGCGCCGACGTAATCATTCGGAAAACATCTTGAAGTTCTCGCACCTGATTATCTAAAGGATGGAGCATGGAGTGAGGCATTTTGGCAGCTATTGATCCGAAGTGATAGCTTTTCCTCACCGATATGGCAGCTTGAGGGATAGCTTTTTGTGGTCTTCTGACCATGTTTGTTAGCGACCTCGCCGGATTGAGCCGCACCATATCTCGTACCACTTTAACATTTTTCGTGGAAGTTGCAGCTGGTGGTGTCCACCATTCTCAGCGGTATTTCATAGCTTCGGAGTCCTTTTATCATTTGATGACAAACTCCACAGTTATGCCACGTACTAGTGGAGTTTTGGCTATTGTTTTCGCACTGGGACCAAGCACGTTCACTGAATGGTCATGGCTCGGTAAAGTTCAGCCATTCTGGAAAACTTGGGAAGCGGAATTGGAAGTACTGATAGAGGACGTGGTGTGCAAAAGGCTGAACACCAATTGCTCGCTTGTCGCTTACAAGTATCAACGGAACAACCCTTGTAAGTCTGAGCAAGTACATAATTTTGCGCGCATATGCTTATGTTCTCTGAAGCCGAGCCGAGATGTCTTGGGAAGGCCACCGTGCACAGGTGGGTAGGAAACCGCAGGAAACTCAGTGTTACAAGGAAAATAGCCTGACATTTGCAATGTTGCAGTAACAAGACTTTTATACACAACAATTAGCACGAATTCATCAAGAAATCATTCAGCAACTCCTGTTCAGGCAACACAAGAATCTGTCGCAATCAGTACTTGCAACTAGGAAGTGTATTTACATCGTTCGTGAAATAAAGTGTGTGGAGGAGAAGATCTTATAAAGCACAGACTGTATCTCTACTACTTATTTTATCGAAGGGTATTCAGCAATCTTTCCACATTCACAGTCGCTTCTGGTCGTCGTCGCTCACCTCCTCAATATCGCCGTTCCTTTTTGCGTTTCTGGAACGAATGTTTGAAACATTTGACTTTAGAATCAAGCTCACATTAGCGAAAATGTTGTGAAGTTCCCTCTCCGCTATTTTTATAGACATAAGAGGCACACTGCTTTGTTGACGGCTAATGCCTTTAAGCTTCCTGGAAGTGTCTTTTGAGGCGTTTTTAGTCTGGACTGTTTTCTATTTTTCAGTCAGAAACATGCTTAAAAAGCACTAG